TAGAAGCCTTCGACCCAGGTTTCATGCATGTTGGCATCCGTCAGCAAGGCATTTCTGATAACGTCTTTGACTGCATCACTCGGTGGCACAGGTTAGAATCTCAGAAGGGACATTAACTGTTCCTTCAAGCTTGCAGATACGCCTTGCTGATTTGTGAGCGCCAACAAGCACGAAACCCAGGTCGAAGGCTTCCTGCCACTTGCTCCCAACCATCCAATAACAACAACAATAGTGAATATATATAATAGGAAAGGAAGCTAACTGGCGAGAAGCTTGGAGTTACTTAAAGGTCCTCAGTGACATGCCTATAAGTATTTTACAGCAGATTAAATGTGTCCACATACACAGAAGTTCTAGAACTTGAGAATGTTTTTTCAATCTCCGCCTATTTACCACTTCTTTTTTCATTATTCTCAATGGATTATAATGTTTTCTGATCTTCAGTGTGTGTGTGTCGATGGTTCACTGGGAGAGCGATCAGCAGTCACATACATGCCACGAAGTTCGATTCCTGACCGATCTCCTCTTAAGCTTTGCCTAGTCAGTGGGTGGTAAGCCCAGGAAAGAGGCAGGGTTGGGCATATGGATAGTGGCTTTACTCTGTAAAAACTACCCCCCACTACTGCCATGTGATTTGCCCCTGTAAAATGTAAGATGATGCTACAGGAATGGACTCCACCGACTCCTAGATTAGAAATAGGAAGTGAAGTGGTAGAGCACGTTGACCACTTCACTTACTTGGGAAGTACCGTCAGCCCCAACGCCAACGGGTTGATCTCCGACGAAATCTGAGCACGAATACGGAGGGCTAGTTTCGCATATGCCAGTTTACGCCGTCTCTGGTGTAGACGCGATATCCGACTATCGACCAAAGGGCGGGTGTACTGCTCAACAGTCCGCTCCGTCCTCCTTTATGGCTGGTTCTGAGACCTGACCATTGAGAGCGGAAGACATGAAAAGATTAGCTGTCTTCGATCATAGGTGTCTGCGTTCTATCTCCCGCGTGAAGTGGTGTGATAAGGTGAGAAGAATTGAGGTTAAGCGTCGAGTGCTAGGTAGGTGGGAGGGGAAATCAATAGACGAGGCTGTGAAATTACATCGACTGAGATGGTTAGGGCATGTGTTACGAATGAATGCCTAGTCATCGCCTTCCTCGACAATGGGCAATGTTAGCTGATATAGGATGGGTCAGGCTGGAAAAGAGCTAGCGGCGGTCAAACCAAAACATGGCACCAGTCAATGAAGTCCACAACAGTTAGTTTAAGCCACGTAGGAAGGTGTAGACTGGCTTCCTGACTGGTTGGGGTCCTCGGGACGTGAAAAACCAATTACGGCTGGAAACAATTGGTGATATGGCTCAAAGTGATCGTTCTCAATGACTGGCGCAGATGCATCCACTCCTTGTGACTCATGATTTCCAATGAAACTGTTTTGTTCTTCGTTATTACTATTCCTTTGTCTCACCACACCTCTGTTTACTGTCTTCTTTCTATTATGCATTTCTCCTACTTTCTTCTCTTGCTTTGTGTGCTACAAGGAGGGAGTGTGGCTACTTGAACTGCCGCACACATATGTGCAAAGTTCTATGTCGAAACCGACCGACCGACCTCAGCGGAAGTTACATCATACACTTTTGTAGTTCGTGAGTTTATCATTAAAAAGAAGAAAAAAATAAAATACAAAAATTTCTATAGCAAAGCGCCTTCTTAACACAAATAAGTTAAGCACATGAAATAAATGTGAAATGTCAAAAAGGAGAAAATTTAAAACAAAAAAGAGGTATTACGAAATTCAAAAAAAAACTAAAAAAGAAAGAAAGAAAAAGAAAAGAAAGATTTGAGTATCTGATAGTGTAGAGACACAATGGAATTTCCATTGTTAAATAAGACGGTTGGGATGGGCGTGTATAGAAACACCGTTGACTATAACACTGGGAATATGGATTACAAGCACAGTTTATGAGTTGGGCAGAATGACTATTTCGATGGGGGCAACAGTTATATGGGAGTAAGTTATATGCATGTATACAGTGTGTGTATGCTGGAATGTTGCTATAGAAACAGCATGGATTCATCTGGAATTGATGACTTAGTCCAAATGTAGGAGGTACACAGTTGACTATTGGTGCATAGAATGATGGACAACAGTGACAGGAGTACACTGGTACTGGCTGCGCTTGAGGCAATCCATATGACAGGGTTTTTATATTGTTATCCGGCGGAGTAGTCTTTGTATTACCTGAATTACCAGCAGTAATGACAGCGTTCCTTGAACTTGTAGGTTCTGGAACATTATTTTCAAAATTCTTTAAGTCAGGGTTCTTCTCATGGATAATTATTGGTGACCTTTTACTTCTAAAAGCTTGATTTTGTTTAACGACATTAGTAGTGGTCCCAGCAGCAACAGCAGCAGCAGCATTTGTTGTTCCAGTCGAACGGAATCTCAAAGGTGATGGTGACATATTGTATTTTCATTGAATACCACATCTGGAGATAACATTGATATTTTCCTCCTCTTTCTTATCACCGTCACAAGGTTCTTTTAATCTCTTCAAGAATGGTTGTATTGCTTTACAGTATTACCGCATAACAATTTCTAGGGATGCTTATGCAAGCGAAATTGGTTATCTGTACCCACAATTGCGTCACGCTTCTGATTATCATGACAGTCAACAACAGTTTGAAAATAATAATAATAAATGTCGTTATAAACAAAAGCGCCACGTAAATCTAGAGATCGCAAGACATCTGACGAATCTGACGCCATTCCAGATAAGTTAAATGTAGCCAAGAAATAAACTGCTATGCATAGTCCTGATACAAGTAGCCAGTTGACCGCTTCTGACATGTCAAAGGATCTGTTGAAGTCACACAGGACGTCAGATGAAAACTGTGATCTTGTATTAAATCGGTCAAAAGAGTGTCTTCAATCAAGTGAGTCGAACGCGGCTAATTATACACGTAAAACAGACGACGGTGATGATGCTGGCGGATGTACATTAGTGAACATAATGCATACTGTAGATCAGACTAGAAGAACACAGTCATCAAGCTACAGACCAGTGAAGACATCCGATTGTGTGTATAACAAACAGATACAGGTACATCTATCCGATGAGCTGAGGAAGAATCATCGCAATAAACTGCAACAATCAGATAATCACGCTGCAGGAATCACATATGTGGTAGGAGCCATTGATACCAGAACATGTTCAAAATTTAATGCACTAGAGAAAGGAACTGGTGAAAAGCACCAAAATGCCATCAATTTAGGAATATCTGTCAGAGTGAAGGAAGAAGAAAAAATTGCTTCAAGTTGTCCAACTATTAGACCGACTGACTGGAAGAATGCTGGTCAGTGGAAGGAAGCATCATCACTTCCAAATAATGACCATTCGATGTCTTCTGAAGGTAGTAGTAGGCTATCAGTGGAAAGGAAAGATGGTCTAAAATGTAGAGAAGAAAATACAATGGGAGATTTACAAAGCTCGCCAAAGCCACAAAAACTTTCACTGATTGGTCTACGTCGACGTCGTTCAAGTAGCAAACGTCTTGCTGCAAAACAGGATCAAATAACACCGTCCAGCCTTCCGGCTGACTCACCACAGGATCACTCCATAAAAATGAAAACAAAAGACAGGAAAAGCCGAAAACTCAAGCAGGCGCGTATACTTCACAAGTCGTCTAGTGGAAGCACACTCCAAAGGACGCTCAGTAAGATTAATGAGACTTCTAAGTTGTCTATTGAACAAATACAGCCATCAGTGCCTGCAGACGACGACGAAGTAAAAAGAATCTCAAAGATGTCATCAGTAATCGAGAAGCTGAAGAATACTTTTGCTTGTCGTCGTTCGTCAAGCAAAACTAAAGACAAGAAGGTGAGTTCAAATCATGATGCTCTCAAATCATCTACTTCAAAAGAATCTGATAAATCTACTCGCAAAATTCGAGGTCGAAAATCTCGAAAACCTGCATCTGTAGAAGTTAGTGACTCAAAACCATCACAATCCTTGCAGAAAACCAGTGCAGATAAAATACATTTTCATCTGAAAAGAGAAGAAATGAGTCGCGATGCCGTGAACGAAGTAAGTAGTGTGGAAAAGGCTTCAAACAGGTCATCATTAACAAGTGACAGCAGTGGAATAAGTGGGACACAAAAGCCAGTGAAACGCAGAAAGTTTAGACACCTCGTCACACGCAAGAAGTCATCACATGGTGAGGATAATCGAAAGACACCAAGCAAAATATCTTCCCAAAATTCTGATTCCTCTTCATCGTCACAAGAACCGAAACGTCGTACACGTAAAAAATCCAATCGTTCTTTCTCACATCATACGACATTTCAGGAAGAACTGCAAAAGAAAAGCAGTAGACAAAGATAGTGATGTGAATTTTGTCACCTCACAAAACTCCGAGCAATCTCCATCACAAGAACATGAACATTTTAAAGATAGGAAGCGACGTGAAAAGGACGTCTCACGTAATTCCGACACTTCGAGTGGATCTGAGAAGTTCGACCGTAAACCCAGAATGTCACCGTGTGGAGGGAAGTCGCATAAGGATTCCGGTGAAGATATGCATGCACTGAGGACTTCAGAAACTCCACAGACATTTGATCCACCAGAAGAAATTCAGCTTCACGAGGTTGTGGGAAAGGAGATTGGGAATGGAATGTTACCAAATGCGAAAATGACTGTCATGCATATTTACAAAACTACTCCAGTATTGTCACCGAAACAAACCAATCAATACTCATCAAAACAGCCATTACAAGGTTCGATTATATCAGAAACGCAAATCTCTTTACCAGGTGGCTTACCAGAAGAATTTAAAATTGAAAGAACTTCCGTTGTTCCACTTGACCCAGTGGTGACATTAACCCCTACACTTGTTAAACTGTCTTCAGTGACATCCGAAAGGGAAAAAACAGATCAGAATAAAATTCCATCGATTTCAGATAGTAACTTGAAAATTTCAACAGCCACAATCATCACAGAAAACATGAATGGCGATGATGATGATGATGATGATGATGATAATGTTCACGATAGCACCGGCAGTGGTGCAACATTACCAAATGCCAATAAAAATGACAAAAGTAGGAATTCTCTACTCTGTTTTAAAAGAAAGAAGTCACCATACAAGACTAAAGGTACCACGCCTAGTGACAATAAAATTAAGAAACCTACACTTTCAACAAAGCCTTCCAGTGAAGCTACACGTTCAAAAGATACAACCTCTAAAACACATCAAGCTGAAACGTCAAGAAATTCGCCAATATCTTTCACAAACATTACTGAAATATCTCTGTCTAAAGAAGAAGATGAAGTGAAAACGAAGTCATTCAAGGATGAAGACCATGGTGTCAATGAAACTACAAAACAACACAGAGACATAGAATCACATGAACCTGTGAAAACTGAAGTTGAAGAGGTTGAAAAGTTATCACTTGAAGAGTATGTTCTACTTCAGGAGAATTTCGACTATTACAACAGAAATACAGACCAAAGACAAGAAGAGCAGCTAGGACAACCACAACCACCATCACCACCACAACAACAACAGCAACAAAAACAAACGAGTTCGAATGATCAAGAACTCGTCAAAAGTAAAGATGTAGCATTCGACGAAAACCTGTGCAAAATTCAATCGTCATCACAAGATGATGATATAAGCAAATCACCTTCACATTTGCCTGTCCTAACTGACCGAAATGAAAATCCGGAAAATTATCCAACATCAATAGGTACTGAATAGTTTGCTATACAAAAATATCCCTGTGAATGTTGTGAATGCTGTCGAAATCATCATCATCATCTTTCTATTACATATTGTTCTCCATCTTTATTACCAGATGACTCTGATGCAGTGATGAAAGAAGAAAATATCCTCCCGGCTGCTTTAAATTTAAGAATAGTCCAGTCAATTGATAATACTGAACATGTACTTGCAGAGAATAAAATTTCCTTGAATACATTATTTCAACCAGATGTTGAAACACTGGATGAATTAGATCCAGTGAATGCGGTGTATAATGCAACTGAGCGAAATGCCCTAACAAAACATGAGCCTCCACTGAATCAGACAACTGCTACAAGCTCTAAAACTATCCAACATTGTGAACTGCCATCTGTTAAACTCACTATTACAGCTTCTACATCAAGTCCACAAAAGTGTAAATTCAATGAAAAAAATAATTATTGTATGTGTGGTTGTTCTCTTGTTAACAAGAATACAAATATGCAGCGTGAACAAACAATCGGAAATTCGTCTGCAGAATGTGGAACAGATGAGGAGTTTTCTAGAAAGTACAGTACTGAGTCTAAAGTACAATTATCACAGTCACAACCGAAGCCATTGCCATTGTCATTGCCATTGCCGAGAGAATCGCAGAGAACACCAACACCACCGCCAAGATCAGAAACACCGACACCAACACCGACAACGACGCCGCCAACATCACCACCATTGTCAATATCAAAACAATCTGAACTGTCGAAATCAGTACAGACTATGACATCATCGACAACAGCTTTCAAAACTCCAGCATTACTAATACTGCCTGAAACAGATATACAAAAGTCGGGAGAATCAGCGCCAAGTGTGTCATCAACAAAAATAATAGCAGCAGCACAGAAACACCCACCTGCAACACCATATGAACGAATAGTGTGTAATTGTGCAGTGAAAGCCAATCACTGTCACTGTTCCAATAGAATATGCACCACTTTCAAGCAAATTGAACAAATGCACTATCCGTACAACTGTAAGCCATATAAATATATTCTTTGTCCTACAGATAAAGGCTTACAACAGTGTGATTGTCTAATTCTGTGTAATCATCAGAACGGACTGAGTGTAAGTCGACAGTAATCAACAGTGTATGCATCAAAAGTGTTTTGAGGATATTCGTCATAACAAAGACACAGCATTTCTTTTTCAGTTTTATTTTTTCATAATCAGGAAGCTTTTGGCTTACACCTCACTTTTCAGTTTATCTGCTTTCAGTAAGTTGAGAATTTATGACTCTGAATGTTATCTGCATTAGAGACAACTTGTCATTAGTTACTAAATATAAAAAAACTAATGCTAAAAACTGTGTTTCTCAGTGACAAATAATAAATCGAAAAAATGATGATAATTTGATAAATCTCGGTTATTTGCTGCTGACTCAACTGCACTCTTCTAAATTATTTTGTTATATTACCCACACTACTTAATTATCTGTAAGTAGGAGATATCAATTAACCTCCTGTCCAACATTCAATTTCCTAGAGATGATCTGAGCATTTGTAGTTGTTCCACACACGATATCTCACTTCAAGCTTTCCTTTGTGTTTGGCAATAGCTTCCTCAATGGACAGGAGATGTTACTCGAAGGCCTCTGGAACGACATGACCTTATCTTACATATCAGCTGATGGAGAATGATGTCAAGAACTGATCTTCAAGAAGTTATATCCGGTGGGGGAGGGAAATGAATCATAGGTCTGTGTGAATGCATAAAATAATAACAATAGTAGTATGAAACGCAATTAAAATATTTGTGATCACAATCCTAGTTAAGTGTCAAGTGGCAAAACAACTAATGTCATATATAGAACACTGATTCATAGGATGGATAGAACTTTGAAGGGATGTGCAATCGTAGGATTAGTAGGCGAATTGAATTAAATGGAAACGTTACGTAGTATTGTGTGAAATTTGAAAGTATAGAATTTAACGTTGTGAAAAATAATTGATTTAGAATGACAAGTGGGACAAGTGAAACAATACCGGAGACATGAGCTTGGAATTCAAAGGTGACTTAGCTTCCGATATTATGAAAAGAAGGATATATCACTGTCCCTGAGAAGAACATTCCCTGATGCATCTCTGAGAATAGCCTTTACCAGTCGACCATCACTGTTCAAAAATCTGAAGGACATGATCCTGTTATCGACCAACTCTATGTGCGTTTATCAATTCGTGTGCAGCTAGGTATATCGGTCGCTCGACTCGAGTTTTGACCAAGAGGATGCAAGAACACTATCCTGCCTGGTGGTTACGAAGAGGTGGAAGTGGAGACATGAGAAGCACGACCATTGAACATCTGGTCGATAATGATCACCTGATGATCTCTATGGCCTCCACCTTTAAAGTCATCTACAAGGCGAACAGTAATTTACCGAAATCACTACGTACATGACTCATTTGTATTGCTGAAGCTTTGGCAATCGAAACAGAAGCGCCCGATCTCTGTGTACAGAAATTGTTCGTTCAAGCCCTCCAACTTTCATGGTCCTAATCCCTCTATGCATCCTCTTGGTCAAAACTCGAGTCGAGCGACCGATATACCTAGCTGCACACGAATTGATAAACGCACATAGAGTTGGTCGATAACAGGATCATGTCCTTCAGATTTTTGAACAGTGATGGTCGACTGGTAAAGGCTATTCTCAGAGATGCATCAGGGAATGTTCTTCTCAGGGACAGTGATATATCCTTCTTTTCATAATATCGGAAGCTAAGTCACCTTTGAATTCCAAGCTCATGTCTCCGGTATTGTTTCACTTGTCCCACTTGTCATTCTAAATCAATTATTTTTCACAACGTTAAATTCTATACTTTCAAATTTCACACAATACTACGTAACGTTTTCATTTAATTCAATTCGCCTACTAATCCTACGATTGCACATCCCTTCAAAGTTCTATCCATCCTATGAACCAGTGTTCTATATATGACATTAATTGTTTTGCCACTTGACATTTAACTATGATTGTAATCACAAATATTTTAATTGCGTTTCATACTACTACTATTATTATTTTATGCATTCACTGAGACCTATGATTCAATTCCCTCCCCCACCGGATATAACTTCTTGAAGATCAGTTCTTGACATCATTCTCCATCAGCTGATACGTAAGATAAGGTCATGTCGTTCGAGAGGCCTTCGAGTAACATCTCCTGTCCATTGAGGAAGCTATTGCCAAACACAAAGGAAACCTTGAAGTGAGATATCGTGTGTGGAACAACTACAAATGCTCAGATCATCTCTAGGAAATTGAATGTTGGACAGGAGGTTAATTGATATCTCCTACTTACAGATAATTAAGTAGTGTGGGTAATATAACAAAATAATTTAGAAGAGTGCAGTTGAGTCAGCAGCAAATAACCGAGATTTATCAAATTATCATCATTTTTTCGATTTATTATTTGTCACTGAGAAACACAGTTTTTAGCATTAGTTTTTTTATATTTAGTAACTAATGACAAGTTGTCTCTAATGCAGATAACATTCAGAGTCATAAATTCTCAACTTACTGAAACCAGATAAACTGAAAAGTGAGGTGTAAGCCAAAAGCTTCCTGATTATGAAAAAATAAAACTGAAAAAGAAATGCTGTGTCTTTGTTATGACGAATATCCTCAAAACACTTTTGATGCATACACTGTTGATTACTGTCGACTTACACTCAGTCCGTTCTGATGATTACACAGAATTATACAATCACACTGTTGTAAGCCTTTATCTGCAGGACAAAGAATATATTTATATGGCTTACAGTTGTACGGATAGTGCATTTGTTCAATTTGCTTGAAAGTGGTGCATATTCTATTCGAACAGTGACAGTGATTGGCTTTCACTGAACAATTACACACTATTCGTTCATATGGTGTTGCAGGTGGGTGTTTCTGTGCTGCTGCTGCTATTATTTTTGTTGATGACACACTTGGCGCTGATTCTCTCGACTTTTGTATATCTGTTTCAGGCAGTATTAGTAATGCTGGAGTTTTGAAAGCTGTTGTCGATGATGTCATAGTCTGTACTGATTTCGACAGTTCGGATTGTTTTGATATTGACAATGGTGGTGATGGTGGCGGTGTCGGTGTCGGTGTTTCTGATCTTGGCGGTGGTGTTGGTGTTCTCTGCGATTCTCTTGGCAATGGCAATGACAATGGCAATGGCTTCGGTTGTGACTGTGATAATTGTACTTTAGACTCAGTACTGTACTTTCTAGAAAACTCCTCATCTGTTCGACATTCTGCAGACGAATTTCCGATTGTTTGTTCACGCTGCATATTTGTATTCTTGTTAACAAGAGAACAACCACACATACAATAATTATTTCTTTCATTGAATTTACACTTTTGTGGACTTGATGTAGAAGCTGTAATAGTGAGTTTAACAGATGGCAGTTCACAATGTTGGATAGTTTTAGAGCTTGTAGCAGTTGTCTGATTCAGTGGAGGCTCATGTTTTGATAGGGCATTTCGCTCAGTTGCATTATACACCGCATTCACTGGATCTAATTCATCCAGTGTTTCAACATCTGGTTGAAATAATGTATTCAAGGAAATTTTATTCTCTGCAAGTACATGTTCAGTATTATCAATTGACTGGACTATTCTTAAATTTAAAGCAGCCGGGAGGATATTTTCTTCTTCCAGCACTGCATCAGAGTCATCTGGTAATAAGGATGGAGAACAATATGTAATAGAAAGATGATGATGATGATTTCGACAGCATTCACAACATTCACAGGGATATTTTTGTATAGCAAACTGTTCAGTACCTATTGATGTTGGATAATTTTCTAGATTTTCATTTTGGTCAGTTAGAACAGGCAAATGTGAAGGTGATTTGCTTATATCATCATCTTGTGATGACGATTGAATTTTGCACAGGTTTTCGTCGAATGCTACATCTTTACTTTTGACGAGTTCTTGATCATCTGAACTCATTTGTTGTTGTTTGTTGTTGTGGTGGTGATGGTGGTTGTGGTTGTTCTAGCTGCTCTTCTTGTCTTTGGTCTGTATTTCTGTTGTAATAGTCGAAATTCTCCTGAAGTAGAACATACTCTTCCAGTGATAACTTTTCAACCTCTTCAACTTCAGTTTTCACAGGTTCATGTGATTCTATATCTCTGTGTTGTTTTGTAGTTTCAGTGACACCATGGTCTTCATCCTTGAATGACTTCGTTTTTACTTCATCTTCTTCTTTAGACAGAGATATTTCAGTAATGTTTGTGAAAGATATTGGCGAATTTCTTGACGTTTTAGCTTGATGTGTTTTAGAGGTTGTATCTTTTGAAAGTGTAGCTTTATTGGAAGGCTTTGTTGAACGTGTAGGTTTTTTAATTTTATTGTCACTAGGCGTGGTACCTTTAGTCTTGTATGGTGACTTCTTTCTTTTAAAACAGAGTAGAGAATTCCTACTTTTGTCACTTTTATTGGCATTTGGTAATGTCTCACCACTGCCGGTGCTTTCGTGAACACTATCATCATCATCGCCATTCATGTTTTCTGTGATGATTGTGGCTGTTGAAATTTTCAAGTTACTATCTGAAATCGATGGAATTTTATTCTGATCTGTTTTTTCACTTTCAGATGTAACTGAAGGCAGTTTAACAAGTGTAGGGGTTAATGTCACCACTGGGTCAAGTGGAACAACGGAAGTTCTTTCAATTTTAAATTCTTCTGGTAAGCCACCAGGTAAAGAGATTTGCGTTTCTGATATAATCGAACCTTGTATTGGCTGTTTCGATGAGTATTGATTGGTTTGTTTCCGTGACAATACTGGAGTAGTTTTGTAAATATGCATGACAGTCATTTTCGCATTTGGTAACATTCCATTCCCAATCTCCTTTCCCACAACCTCGTGAAGCTGAATTTCTTCTGGTGGATCAAATGTCTGTGGAGTTCGTATGCATTCGTATCTTCACCGGAATCCTTATGCGACTTCCCTCCACATGGTGACATTCTGCGTTTACGGGTGGACTTCTCAGATCCACTCGAGGTGTCGGATTTAGGTGAGACGTCTTTTTTTTACGTCGCTTTTTATCTTTAATATGTTCATGTTCTTGTGATGGAGATTGCCCGGAGTTTTGTGAGGTGATCAAATTCACACCACTATCTTTGTCTACTGCTTTTGTTTTCAGGTCTTCCTGAGATGTCGTATGATGTGAGAAAGAGCGATTGGATTTTTTACCTGTACGACGTTTCGGTTCTTGTGACGATGAAGAGGAATCAGAATTATGGGTAGATTTTTTGCTTGGTGTCTTTTGATTATCCCCACCACGTGATGACTTCTTGCGTGTGACGAGGTGTCCAAACTTTCTGCGTTTCACTGGCTTTTCTGTCCCACTTATTCCACTGCTGTCACTTGTTAATGATGACCTGTTTGAAGCCTTTTCCACACTACTTACTTCGCTCACTTCTCTTTTTCGATGAAAATGTATTTTATCTGCACTGGTTTTCTGCAAGGATTGTGATGGTTTTGAGTCACTAACTTCTACAGATGCAGTTTTTCGAGATTTTCGACATCGAATTTTGCGAGTAGATTTATCAGATTCTTTTGAAGTAGATGATTTGAGAGCATCATGATTTGAACTCTCCTTCTTGTCTTTAGTTTTGCTTGACGAACGACGACAAGCAAAAGCATTCTTCAGCTTCTCGATTACTGATGACTTCTTTGAGATTCTTTTTACTTCGTCGTCGTCTGCAGGCACTGATGGCTGCATTTGTTCAATAGACAACTTAGAATTCTCATTAATTTTACTGGGAACCGCCTGGAGTGTGCTTCCACTAGACGACTTGTGAAGTATAGGCGCCTGCTTGAGTTTTCGGCTTTTCTTGTCTTTTGTTTTCATTTTTATGGAGTGATCCTGTGGTGAGTCAGCCGGAAGGCTGGACGGTGTTATTTGATCGTGTTTTGCAGCAATACGTTTGCTACTTGAACGACGTCGATGTAGACCAATCAGTGAAAGTTTTTGTGGCTTTGGCGAGCTTTGTAAATCTCCCATTGTATTTTCTTCTCTACATTTTAGACCATCTTTCCTTTCCACTGATAGCCTACTACTACCTTCAGAAGACATCGAATGGTCATTATTTGGAAGTGATGATGCTTCCTTCCACTGACCAGCATTCTTCCAGTCAGTCGGTCTAATAGTTGGACAACTTGAAGCAATTTTTTCTTCTTCCTTCTCTCTGATAGATATTCCTAAATTGATGGCATTTTGGTGCTTTTCACCAGTTCCTTTCTCTAGTGCATTAAATTTTGAACATGTTCTGGTATCAATGGCTACTACCACATATGTGATCTCTGGACTGTGATTATCTGATTGTTGCAGTTTATTGTGATGCTTCTTCCTCAGCTCATCGGATAGATGTACCTGTATCTGTTTATTATACACACAATCGGATGTCTTCACTGGTCTGTAGCTTGATGGCTGTGTTCTTCTAGTCTGATCTACAGTATGCATTATGTTCACCAACGTACATCCGCCAGCATCATCACCGTCGTCTGTTTCACGTGTATAATTGACCGCATTCGACTCACTTGACTGAAGACACTCTTTTGAACAATTGAATACAAAATCACAGTTTTCATATGACGTCCTGTAAGACTTCAACAGATCCTTTGACATGTCAGAAGCGGTCAACTGGCTACTTGTATCAGGACTATGCATAGCAGTATATTTGTTGGCTACATTTAATTCATCTGGAATGGCGTCAGATTCGTCAGATGTCTTGCGATCTCTAGATTTATGTGGCGTTTTTTGTTTATAACGACAATTATTATTATTATTTTCAAACTGTTGTTGACTGTCATGATAATCAGAAGCGTGACACAATTGTTGGTACAGATAACCAATTTTACTTTCATAAGCATCCCTAGAAATTGTTATGCGGTAATACTGTAAAGCAGTACAACCATTCTTGAAGAGATTAAAAGAACCTTGTGACGGTGATAAGAAAGAGGAGGAAAATATCAATGTTATCTCCAGATGTGGTATTCGATGAAAATACAATATGTCATCATAGTTTCGCCCAGATCTATGTCGTTCAAAAATATCAGCTTTATTCAATACTTTCACCAGTTTCTTTTCTCCAGGATATTTTGCCTCAAGTGTTGCATATCGATGATTGAAAGTTTGCGGTCTGTTCACTTTGAAAACCACCGGTAAAGTGTTCATGTCTAGGGGTTCTTCGACGGTAGACGCATTCACGATTATGTAATAATCATGCAGTAGATTAGATAGAGTGGAGGAGGATTTTCTAAGTATTTCCTCAGGGTTGCTTTCTAAGAATATTAATATACTTCTAATTCTTTTATTATCACTATCATTATAACTGTTATTACAATCATAAGTACACATGGCTTGTTTGTAAAGATTAAAAGCAATGACTGCTGGGAGCTGCAATATTTCACTTCGACAGACAACACGTTTTCGTTCTGTTTGATATAAATGCGTATTTATATGTCTGATACCGATAACAGCTTCACTGTTTTGATACAAACCAAAAACATCCATCCATTCTCCATGTAACAGGTGATTTCCATTTATGCCTACTGCAATTGTTCCGATAATTATTGCTCCTTTCATTCCGCTCACCAGGCTATCATGCTTTATGCAGTATATGTTATCCTTCAACTCGTGAATTTGATTATTCCTTTGTATATCTTTACCAGGACACTCCTCACTTCTATTTACACTGAGCTTATAAACTCTGGTGAACAGATCACATTTTAATCCTTGAATTCGCAGTAAAATACCATAACCCTGGGAATATTCAATTTTGAACAATTCATGTTCAAGTTCTGTTACATCGTCATTATTATTTTTTCCAAAGTAACTTAAATTTTGACGGGGATCATTTATGAAGATCATGCAAATTGTACTTCAAATTAAAGAGGAACTAAAAACAAAAGAGGAGAAAAACAAAAAATACGATTAGGTCAGTAAGGTGTTCGTTCACAAATGATCCTGTGGACGAGAATTCTTCGTCATCATCATGGAATAAAAATGTCTCTGAATTTTCTTTCTCTGGATAATCATTACTACTATTATTATTATTTCAAATCTATCCTTCCTTGTCCACGTGATCACAATATGCGAGAATCGATTTATTTGTAGAGGGCTGGCTTTGTTGATAAAGAAAGGCAAGTTTATTTATTTATTGTATGTGTGCATGCGTTTTAAGGCTGGAGAGGAGTATTGAAAGAGTGTGAATAAAAGAGTAAATCTTTGCCTTGGCTCATTTAACATACTGACTGACTGACTGAGGTAAACTCTTGACGCGTCGAGTCTTTGAAACATGAAAAACACTGATTTGATATTAGTGTTGAAAATTTGAATCTTGTTCCTTACACTGATTTCAAATTAATGAAGGTATTTCTAGCCTTTCAAACCTCTGCGGTGACGTCATCGACTTCGGAAAGGCCTTCGACAGACAGCGTTGACCGAGAAGTAATTTGCAAAAAACCACTTCAATACTATAGAGTGCAGTGCACAAACGAGTCTTTTATCAGCCTCATTCAACAGCTGGCTGGCTGGCTGGCAATATGACAATGCCACGTGTCAGTCAGGTGATCCACAATGGGTAAACTCAGTGAGGCGTTGTAAGTGCATACAGGAGTAAGACGAGGCTGCTCATTATCATCAACGATAATATTCACAATTGTGGTGGGTTTGCTGGATTGTGCGTCAGACTGATAGGAAGACTCTAGAAGATCTAGATATCGCGTGTGGATGATTTTTTTTTTAATGTCATACAAACTCGAAGATTTGCAGGTGAAAACCAAATAAACTGGCTGAAGAGGCGGGTTGGCTGGCTGACAGCGAAGACAGAACTCCAAGTGAACATAGAGAAGACAGAAGTGATGAAGATAACCAACAAACCACCACCACCACCAGCAACAACAAGCGGCACCAATCACCATCAACGGGAGAGATTTGACAGAGGTTACTTCCTGCCTTCACTTATCTAAAATGCATCGTTTCAACGACAGGCAGTCGGAACGGATGAAGGTGTGAAAGCCACCCAGCCAGCCAGCCAGCCAGAATCTGAAAGGCAAGAAATGCATTCATCTACCTGAAACAAGTTCAGAAATCTTCTGCACTCTGTCTGAGCATGAACAACACAAATGTGAAGTCAGTTCTTCTATGCGGGTTAGAAACGTGCACTGAGTGTCACGTTACAGACTTTTATCAACAGCTGCCACCTTCGATGGATGGCTGGCTGGCTGGCTGGCTCCATAGTGAAGATCAAATGGCCAGGTAGCCAGAAAGAATAAGCAACAAGAAACTCTGGCAATGAACGAACTAACCAAGAGTCGATTGCTCAATGGATCAGGCATTCGTTGAGGAGGATGTCGAATGATTTCGCGTGCAGTGCAAGCCATAGCTCGAGTGGAATCCCAATAAGAAGTGACGACTGGATCGTCAGTGTGAGGGTGACATTGAGGAGATCGTGTCAGTCGGAGGAGGATTAGGTGGAGGAGATGGGAGATTATGA